TGATGTAGGCAACCAGGAACTAAGCTTCAAAGCAGTTGTGGTGGATGGAGGTCTGATACAGGTTCAGAACTGGAGCCCAATCTGCAATGAAGTCGAAGTTCAAGATGGGTGTGTTTGGCTGAAGCTAATAGGCCTTCCATTTCACCTATGGCAGGATCCTGTTATTGAGTATATAGTGCAGAGCCTGGGAGGTATTTTAGTGAAGGCTGATAGACGTAACCTGAGTGCAGTGGAGTTACAGGTTGCTGGTGTTAGACACAAGAACTTGCCAAGGTTCTTTGATATCTGTTCGGATGAAGCCTGGTACAAGGTGTGGGTGGCTTCAGAAGTCAAACGGTCGTGGTGGGAAGGAGGTCGAAGATGATGAGATGGCAGGGTGGTGGACATGTGGAGGGAAGAGGGAGGGCGGTGAAAAGGTGGAGCAGATGAAGGTTAAATCTGGGGTTACTGTGTCGGCTGGGGAAAACCAAACAAATAGGCAACCTATTTAAGGAAATAATTCAAATGGGTTTGAATTAAACAAAATTAGGGTGGGCTCCTCATCTTATGCTGACGTGACAAAGAAACAGATTGCTTTTGGGAGCAGAATGGCTTGGTCCGAGCCGGTGAAGGTGGTGGGTGGGTCGGGCGGGCTGAAGATTAAACCGGGACAAATTTGGAAGGAGCCACGTGACAACTTAAAAAGTCACGTGGGTGGGTTGGGCGGGTTGGAAAGTGAACCGGGTCACTCATTTAAGGGCCCACGTGGCAACTTAAGTGGTCATGCGGGCAGGTCGAGCGGGCCTAATACCGAACACAGGTCTTTTTCGAATGACCCACGTGATAACTTAAGTTGTCACGTGGGTTGGGGTTAGGAGACACAACATAGATCATTACTAGATAGTGAACTTGGTCTATCTTTGTCCCAAATGGCGAGAATGGATGGGGGACGTTCGCAGCAGCGGAAGTTGGAGAAGGGGAACTTTCAGTGGGTCCCCCAACGGAACTGTGAGGAGGTTAGCTCCCTGCAACGCTCCTCAGACAGGCCGAATCCAAGATATGCAAGGGAAAGAGCAGAAGAGAGGGAAGAGGCGGATGAAGGCTGGGTGCAATGTAGTGAGGAAGATGAAGATTTGGATGAAAGCTCAGATGATGGTACCAGCGTGGGCAGTGTAAACGACGAAGGTGGCTATGCCGGAGGTGACATGGATGGGTGGAATATTGCAAGATTATTTCAGGGTGAAGGTTGTAACCAGACTAAATCATCTCCAATACTCCAGAGTGTGCAAGGTACAATAGAAGGGGCAAATCAGAAGAACCTGAAGCAGAGCAGGAACACACCTCCTAGGGGTGATTCAGGGGTAGAGAGGAGAGATCACCGGAGTGACCAAAGGACATAAGTACTTTCCAACCAACTCAAGGAGACAGACGTTTACTAACCTCTGGAATATTGCAAGCTTATTTCAGGGTGAAGGTTGTAACCGAACTAATTCATCTCCAAGACTCTAGAGTGTGCAAGGTACAACAGAAGGGGCAAATCGGGAGAACCTGAAGCAGAGCAGGAACACACCTCCTAGGGGTGATTCAGGGGTAGAGAGGAGAGATCACCAGAGTGACCAAAGGACAAAAGTACTTTCCAACCAACTCAGGGAGACAGACGTTTACCAACCTCTGGAACAAGAGAGGGAGGCCGAGAACAGTCCTTTTCCATCCTTTCCATCTATCCTAGGTAACAAAGTGAGTTTGGTTTGTGCTACTAATGTGTCTCCTGTGTCTTTGGTTCTAGATTCCGTCCCGACGCCATGTACTGTAGCCCATGAATATGCAACCAAGCTAGATGGTGGGTTGTTCAAGGTAGTGGAGAAGGAAGTGAAGGACTGTGGGGAGGAGCGGGAAGGGAGGTATAGGAACGAAAAAGTGTGGGAAATCATTGAAAGAGTGTTTAGTGAAGTTGAAGGAATTCTGATTTGGAGGGATGGAGAGGAAGGAAGAGGGGAGGAGTCGGTGGAGAGGAAGGAAAGGAAGGAGGGTAGAGTGGGAGAGGAATGTGGGGAGAGAACATGGTTGGAGGCAGGTAATAGGAGAGGGGGGATGGTTGGAGAGGAGAGAGAGGGGTGGGACCAGAGGCGAGGAGGGAAGGGCATGGGGGCAGAGTTGGAGGGGAAAGTGTAGGAAGGATAGGGGTGGAGGGTTCGGTGAAAGAGGACATGATA